TATATTACAAACAGCCTGTAATATTTATTAAAGAGAAGATGAGACCTCAGTATTGGAGCTGCACTGTATCTTGGAGATCAACTGAGAAAGCAGAAGACGAGAACTTTTATCTGCTTTCAGCTTCCAGTTCATCTTAACTCTTACCGACACTGACATGTCGTTGTGCACATGCTCTCACGCACGCTCGCACGCACACACACACAGACACACATTGTTGGACACCAGGCAGCCACTGCTCATATCTGCTGATCTGACGATGATGTGTTCATGTTAAGTTACAGACGAGCTGGACTGAGTGTCATCACAGTATCTGCAGATCTTGTGATAATAGTTCATGTGAGGCTACAGATGATCACATTGAGTGTCTTTACAGTATCTACAGGTCTGATGAGGATGAGTATTAATGTGAAGATACAGATGAGCTGGACTGAGTGTTGTTACAGTATACAGTGCCTTGCAAACATATTCAGACCCTTTAAAAATTTACAAATGTTGCTGGATTACAAAAAGATGCTGGATTCCAATCAGCGTTTGTGTTGCAAACTCGCATGCTCAAGCAGAATTTTTTAAAGACAAAATTAGTCATTTTTCAGCAGATATCGTAAAAGACAATCTTAAAAGTCAGCAGATATCAAATCAAAAACTGAAATATGCTGCTTGCATAAAGATTCAGACCGCTGTGATCTGGTACCTCTAGGTTTACGCAGGTGAAAGTAATTGCCTAATGAGGATATAATTGCATTACCATTGGCCTCAGCAGTGTTTGCCAGTACTATTCCCAGGGATCAGCAGTGACTCTGAAGGAAAGGTACAAAAATGAAGGTTAAAAGCGTTCTAAGGAAGTTAGGGAAAGGTGATAAAAATGAACAGATTTGGAAAAGAGTATAAGAAATATCATAGTGTTTGGATATCCCAGTGAGCACTGTTGGCTCAATAATCAAGAAGCGGTTGTTGCATCACATCCCTGAGTCACTGCCAAGAAAAGGCCTTTCCTCAAAACTCAGCATCCAAACCAGAAGGAGACTGAGAGTGGAGGAACGGTGCACCAGTCCACTACATCAAGAGCTCTGCCTAACCCTGGCCTGTATGTGTGAGTGCAAGAAAGAAGCCATCACTCGGAAAGCACCATCTCAAAGCCCGTCTGGAGTTTGTCAGACAGCGCGGGGGTGATCCAGGTAGGATTTGGGAAAGCGTTTTGTAGTCAGATGAGACCAAGAGAGAGCTTTCTGGCCAAAATTCACAGAGCTATGTGTAACACAAACCTTACACTGCAGGTGCCCCAGGAAACACTGCCCCTACAGGGGGATAATGCAAGAGCACTCGTTTCAGTCTTCTAAAAAATTGAAGCTTGGGAGAACATTCACCAAGCACAGCGCCAAAGCAACACTGAAGTGGCTCAAGAATGAAGAGGTGAGTGTCCTTGAGTGGTCCAGCCAAAGTCCTGACCTCAAGCCCATTCAGCGGCAGGATGTGAAGATTGCAGGCTAGAAACCTGAATGAGCTGGAGAAAGTCTGCCAAGGGGAAGGGCGGACCACTCCTAACCCTTGTGCAAACCCCTAAAGACTTCAAGCTGCTATTTTGGCAAAATGTGGTGCTACCAAATATCGGTGCATGTGGTCTGAATACTCATGCAAGCAGCGCATTTCAGTTTCAGACTTTCTTTAAGGTACCTGCTGGCAAAACACAAACCTTGTCTTGAATTTTTTTTTCTTGACACATGTGACCTTGCAAAAAAAAAAACAGATTGAAAAAAGATGTGCAAATATCCTTTTTAATCCAGCAACGTTTGAAAACCTTTAAAGGGTCTGAATACCTTTGTAAGGGACTGCGGTAAATACGTTTCCTATAATGCGCTGACTAAAACCGTACACTATATTCTAAAAAAACATACCAGTGTGTTATCCAAGTTTAACCTTGCATTCCTTGATTCATATTCTCTTATTTTAATTATATATCTTAAGACTGTTTGCCTTTCTTATTGCTTTCCCACATTGTCTATAAGATGTAAATCATGTGTCAACAGAACACAATGTATTTTTCATAAGCAGCCTCTTCTATCTCTGCGTTTCTTGTCTTATCAGTTTGTGTTTTTGCTCCCTGCATGCAATACCCTGCACTTGTCTACATTAAACATCAGCTGCCAGGTGTTTGCTCGGACTTGAGTTTTATTTCAACCTTTTTGAATTTCATGTGCTTCTTCTACAGTGTTTGCTAATCCTCCTAATTTCGTATCATTTGCAAGCTTGCTTAGTTAACCAACTACACCAGGAAGAATGCTTTTATATTGTTACAAATTAAGTATTAGTGTCAGTTTGTGACATAGTGTTGGTGTATACATGTTCTTATGCATATCTCTGTGTTGGTGTAGGTGTGGGTGGATTTCTTTATGATGATGTGTGTGTGATTGATAATTGTGTATACTTGTGTAGATGTGTATACGTTATTGTGTGCTTGTACATTGCATGTGGGTGCATGTTTGTGTGCATCTCAGTGGGTGCGTTTGTGCATCTGTGTGTTTGTGTGTGTGTGTGACTTTGCATGTCAGCTCTTGTGAGTGTGTTTTCTATAAACGTCTCTTTGTGGTCAATCAGAGACGTCCTTTGTTCACATAAATGAAACTAATGAGCCGTGAATCACCAGCCCCCCTCCCCTCCTGTCACTCCTGCTCTCCCTGGCTCTTCAGCAGCATAGTGGAGGCCCCAGCAGTACCTGAAACACAGCCAGCGATTCTTCTGTGTGCAGCTATTAATGTCTGACCCTTCACTGCCTTTGCTGTCAGTGTCCTTGTAGAAGTGGATGTGTTTCACATGTCTTTCTTCTTCACCAGTGAAAGTGCTGTTGGGAAGAACACTCAGGTACTCCCCTTCCTGTTGGCCTAACTGCCGTAAATGATGGTTTCTCTGTTTCTGTGACACCTCGGACCTTCAGACACTTGTGCTCCCCGGCCTGCAGGACCTGTGTGATGACAGTTAGCTTCTTGGCATGGATTTCTCCCTGTGTCTTTGGGTAGGCCGTCTCCCACATCGAGCACACCTGCGACCTTGACCCACCCTCGCCAGGCTCTGCTGAAGGATCGCTTGTGCTTTCTTTCACTGTGAGATGTGCACTGCCCCTCCCCACATTGCGTACAGACTATACTGACCAGACCACAATATAGACTGACCAGTCCACACTCATACTGACCCAAGCACACTTAAGACTGACAGAGCACATTGTATACTGACTGGACCACAATATAGACTGACCCGCTTACACTTATACTGACCCAAGCACACTAAAGACTGACTGAGCACATTGTATACTGACTGGACCACACTGCACACTGATCAGACCCCATTGTACACTGACTGGACCACACTGCACACTGACCAGACCCCATTGTACACTGACCAGACCCCATTGTACACTGACCAGACCACACTGCACACTGACCAGTTCACACTATATACTGACTAGACCACACTGCACACTGACCAGACCCCATTGTACACTGACTGGAACACAGTGCACACTGACCAGACCCCATTGTACACTGACTGGACCACACTGCACACTGACCAGACCACATTGTACATTGACTGGACCACACTGCACAGAGACCGGACCACATTGTACACTGACCGGACCACACTGCACACTGACCAGTCCACACTATATACTGACTAGACCACACTGCACACTGACCGGACCCCATTGTACACTGACCGGACCACACTTCACACCGACCGGACCCCATTGTACACTGACAGGATCACACTGCACACTGACTGGACCACATTGTACACTGACTGGACCACACTGCACACTGACCGGAC